TGCGGAACCTTTCATAGGGGCCGGCTTCTCAATGGAGACCCGGTCCTTTATTTCCATAAGGATGGAATAACAGTCTTTGCTGAATTCGTACTTTGGGGAGTACGTCTTCCCTTCTTTCTTTTTCTTCTGGGATGGCTGTTCAGAAGTCTCAGCCACCTAGACTTGTTTTCTTTTCAAATCTTCTTTTTTAGCCGGCTGCTGAGGCCGACTCTCTTTCTTATCGGACGTCTTTGAGTCCGACTTTTTTTCGACATTGTAGAGCTCGGTCGCCTGTATATAGGCATCCGCCTCCATCAATGCCTCTTGGAGGGTAGCAACCCTCTTTTTGACGAGGTCGAACTTGAAGGCCGACCCGTCTTTCAGACCCTTAAAAAAGTCTGTGTAGGCTACCTAATCAGACAGCCCTTGAATCTGAATTCTCATCATATTGAAGCGCCTGATGAACGAGCGCAACCCTTCCTTCTCTCCCTGCTGTATGGTGCCCAGATCAAGGCTCGTTTTCTTAGCGGGGATGTTCATTGAGAAGTTGGACGCAAACAGGTATGCAAGCGTCCTAAAATTATTAACGCATCTGGCTGACAAATTGCCGAACCACTGCTAGGCGACGCCCTTCAATGTGGCCGGGAAGCATTTACACCAAGTGGCGTCGTCCAACCCTTGTAAATACATAAGGTTGGTGTAAGCCATTAGGTGGTCCTCAGGATTGGTGGTACCGTCATAGGTGCCCACCAATACATTCTTTACCTTGGCCGGTTGTGCGACCTCTGTTATTTCCTTGGAGAAAGCTGTAGGCTGTTCCCCAAGTCTCTGCAGCCGAAGCTGCCAGTCCAGAGGCTAGACTATAGGTGCCGCCTGTCCCCCAAAAAGGGTAGGCTGCACATAAAATTGTCCATACGACCCGTATGGTTGCTGGGGCATATACGGGGCCGCCTAGAACAACTGAGGAGTGGACTGGGCGGACATGCCGCCTGTCTGACCCCCTTGGGGCAGATTGGAATACCCCATAGAGGTATTCCGAAAACTATCATTAAAGTTCGACGTGGAGGCCGACTCTAATAGTTGCATATTCTTCTTTTGCTGGATTATCATCCGAGCATCGGAATATGTTTTCTTGGAGCCATCCGGCTGAATATGTCGGATGGCTTTCCTATTTCCTGGCGCAGGAACTTTAAGTCCGGCCAAGGTTGTCGAGGGCTTCGGCCCTACCCTTGGCTTAGGGTAAGGAGTGGGCTCTCGATCCTTGACTGGCTTGCTCCTCCCGGAATGAGAGGGCTTTTTGGCCGACTGTTCCTTGGTGGAAACAACCGTCCGTTCAGCAATGAGATCCTTGATCTCTCCTTTGAAACTTGTCATGAGATTCATGAGCTCGTTCCTAGTAATAGGGGTGGATCCCTCGGCCTCCTGGGAAACGGTCGGCGGACCGGCTGTTTCACTGGGCCCGACGTGGCTGACGATCCGTTCCTTCCTTTCGGTGGGACAGATGCGTCGAGTCCTGAGGGACCCGTCAGGTGCCGTGTGAGTCACGACTTCATAGTCGTCATCTGTGTCCTGGTCTGAGGTGACCTGGCCTTCGGCCATGGGCCGCTTCTCACTTAGACTCGGTACAGGTTCTTGGGAAGCCATCTTAAATGTACTCTCCCCACAGACGGCGCCTATTGTTTCGGGGCTTTTTGATGTCCTACGGAAGAGTTACAAATCCAAGACTGACCTCTGGATGCCTATACCTGCAAAATAACGGAGACTCCTGTTGGTGGGAGCTCCACCTCCAGCGATCAAGTTAGAACGTGTATGAGGAGTTTAAGTGCGGAAAGTAAAGTCTCTCTTGGGGTCCAAGAGAGGGTCTGCAATGTGAATTGCTTAGTTTTGGGGTGTCAGGTGTCTGACTAGTTCTCTTTGAGAGTAAGAGTAGGTGTGAGAGTCAATCAGGATTGATATGAAGCTCTTTGAATGTGTTTGAATATTTCTGAATAGGTGTTTCCTTTGGGGAAAACACCTTATTTATAGTCTAGGAGACTGTGCCAAATATTAGGTTTCTAGGAAACCTAGGACTGATTGGGCTTGCTTGGGAAACTGGACCTTTGCAGACTGCTTTTCCTGACAGGCCTTTCTGTCTGCCACGTGTCGTGGCTTGATAGGTCCACTTTGGACCTCTCACAAGGTGACACGTGGCGGACTCTGATTGGTCCACGTGGAGGCCACATGGCAACGCATGATTGGTCCACGTGGCGGGGAAAAATCCCCTAATCACAAGTCAAATAAGTGGAGTATATGTAGTAAAAATAAATTAAGTTCAGCAAAAAATGTTAAGTTCAGTAATAAAAAATTTGATTTAATCAGTAAAAAATAAAATAGTTAGTTTTAATCAGTAAAAATAATTTTGCAAAAATATTTTAATTTTAGACCTTGTTCACTTCACCTTAAAAAATAACATTAAGATAAAATAATTTCAATGCAGTAAAAACAAAAATATACTTTTTAATCAGTAACTTTAAGTACTAATAAATAGAGATCAGTACAAGTAATTTTGATTCAGTTTTTTTAATTGAAAAAATCCCTTGGATGAAATTAAATAGAGTTGTTTTTTTTAAATATTCCTTTTAATGGGATTTTGTTGTAGAGTGAGTAATACATAATGTAAAATGGTAAAACAATAAAAAGCCAATTATTCTTGCACTTATCTGCTTTTTAGTTGATATGATTCTTTAGTCACGTATGAAAATACAAAACTTCAATAATCTATATATCTATCTACAAATAAGCAAAAATAATGTTTTAAAAAAGTGAATATTAATAAAATATAAATTAAAGTGAAACGTACAAGATCTCCCTCATTTGTTATTTTCACAAGTATAAATACATAGTAAAAAAAAAAAAAACACAAACAAATGTAAAACATGTGAATGATAAAGTCAAAATGTATCAATTAAAAAAACAGAGATAATAACACGGAGTACATGTTTTAAGGTTAGAATTCTTAATGAAAGAAAGAATATGGTCCCAAATTCAATTTATATCCGTTGCTTTAATGAATAATAAAATAAATGCTTTAAGGTTATTTTGTCGAATTATTGATCGATAAGGTTTAATATTATTCCTTATAGATCCTTATTGTCTTCACTAAAAATAATAAAAAAAAATATTATTCCTTATAGTATTAATGTTAAAATTCTTTTAATATTATTCCTTATAGTATTAACTAACCAAAGACATTCATGCCAATTCCAATATTCTAACTGTACGGATGTACCGTATGTCTGTATGTATAGCCGTATTTGTCCTTAAAAGAAACATAGGTGAGCCGTACGGCGTATGCGTAGTTGAAAAGGAGCCAAACATTATACGGTCCTTTCCTTAAAATTTAATTAAATAATATTTCTTTTAATAATAATAGACTTTGGATGATGTTGAGGCATGCAATTTGATGTGGTTGGATTCTGTAATTAAGCCTTGGTCCTCTTAATTTTTCGATAATTGTTTAATGGGTTTAGCCACTTGCTGGTCCAAGTAAAATTCTATTTGCAAAATAAGTTATCATTAGTTTGTGTCCGTACTAATAACGGAGAAAGCTTATTTTTAGCAATAACATTGAACTTCCCTCGTCTCTTATTAATTCTTTTTATTTTCACATACGTAAACTCTTCATTGCAACCAGTAATAACATTATAAAAAGTTGTTATTTTAAAAAAATATATTCATTGAGACGTATCGAATAAAATTTCATGTAATTAATTTTTATAGCAGATCACCAAATATAAAGATTACACAAATTTTTATATGTGGCTGGTCACATCGTGTGGCCGAGGTTATTTATTAAGGAGTTACTTATTCAGAGGTTACATACTCGGTCAGGAGTTACTTGGTCAGGGGATACTCGATTGGTCAGGGGTTACTCAATCAGGGGTTATTCAAAGGTTACATACTCGGTCAGTAATAACATTATAAAAAGTTGGGTTATTTTAAAAAAATATATTCATTGAGACACATCGAATAAGATTTCACGTAACTGATTCTTCTTTGAGTATAGCAGATCACCAAATATAAAGATTACACAAATTTTTATATGTGGCTGGTCACATCGTGTGATCGAGGTTATTTATTAAGGGTTACTTATTAAGGAGTTACTTATTCAGAGGTTACATACTCCGTCGGGGTTACTTGGTCAGGGGTTAATCAATCAGGGTTACCCATTAAGTGTTTTGGTGTGTGTAAGCCGACCACACAGAAAACGCATTAACCTATCGAGTAACCCCAGAATAAGTAACCCTTGGCCGACTGAGTAACCCCATAATAAGTAACCCTTGACTGACCGAGTAACCCCGACCACACAGAAAACACACTATAATGATTAATTTCTCTGATTATCAATAATAAGTAAAAATTTTATAAATTATACATTGATCGAGACGATTCTATCTAGATTTCACATACTTATTATGTTTTATCATATTTATAAATCAATATTTCTTTTTTAAGGAAAATTTATAAATCAAGGTAGATAAAGTATAAATGCATGGTATCAATTTACATATGCTTATTTTAATTTCATGTACTTGATTCCTTCAAACAATGGACAGTTGTGTTTCAAATGTCATGAAGGAGACATTAATCTTAAAATTTTGTACAAACATGGCATTGCATGTAACGTAATTAAGATCCATTTATTTTTATACATACTTGACATATAGCAAGAGTATATTCTTAGAAGATTACGGAGAGGATTCCAATCCGGAAGAATGTGTAAACATGATTTCCATTTAAATACTCGTCTTTGTTCCCTCCATTTCCTTCACAAATACAAATATTCTTCTACTTGAGTTTCTTCCTTCATAACGCACAGGTTGGTGAATTTAACTCTCTTTAGTATTTTTGTCCAATTTTATACATACCATAAATTTCTTCCATTGTGAATGTTACAATCGTTTAGAGTTTATGTGAGTCGATTGTTGGAATTGAACTATAGTAGTTAAATACGCAGTTGATCTTATAATTAATTAGTGATTTATAAATCAAATGATTAAATACTCTAATACAATGAATTTACCTTGCAGGGCGTGCATGAAGCTAGAAGGATAAAGTAAGTAAGAGAAGAATTTTTTTTTTTTTTTTAAAAAAAAAAAAAAAACCAAAAAAAAAGGATACATATCATGGTGAAGGGACAACAATTAGAAGTGCTAAATGCACTTGATGTTGCAAAGACGCAATGGTACCATTTCACAGCAATTGTGATTGCTGGTATGGGATTCTTCACAGATGCATATGACCTGTTTTGCATCTCCTTATTGACGAAGCTTCTCGGCCGCATTTACTACGATGTACCAGGTTCTGGTAAGCCAGGAGCATTGCCTATCAATGTCTCTGCTGCTGTAAGTGGAGTTGCCCTCTGTGGGACTCTAGCAGGCCAACTCTTCTTCGGTTGGCTTGGGGACAAGATGGGGAGGAAGAAGGTGTACGGTATCACCTTGGTTATGATGGTTGCGATGTCTATTGCCTCTGGTCTCTCCTTTGGGAGCACTGCCAAGGGTGTTATGACAACACTTTGCTTCTTCCGCTTCTGGCTAGGATTTGGTGTTGGAGGAGATTACCCTCTATCTGCCACCATCATGTCTGAATATGCTAACAAGAAGACTCGTGGAAGTTTCATTGCCGCTGTCTTTGCCATGCAAGGCATGGGTATCTTGGCCGGTGGGATTGTATCCCTAATTGTTTCATCCGCATTTGAGGCCAAATTCAAACCTCCCCCTTTCAAAGTCAACCCTATTGCCTCCCTCCCACCGGAGAGCGACTTTATTTGGCGTATTGTCTTGATGTTTGGGGCTATACCTGCAGCCACAACATACTACTGGCGTATGCAGATGCCTGAGACTGCTAGGTACACCGCTCTTGTGGCAAAGGATGCTAAGCAAGCTGCTTCAGACATGTCCAAAGTCCTAAAGGTTCAGATTGATGCCGAGGAGGAAAAGGTTGACAAAATAGCAAAGAGTGAAAGAAATCAATTTGGGTTGTTCACTAAAGAATTTGCTAGACAATACGGTATTCGCCTTCTAGGAACCACCAGTACATGGTTCTTACTCGACATTGCATTTTACAGTCAAAACCTTTTCCAGAAAGATCTTTTTAGCTCCATCGGGTGGATCCCACCAGCAGCAGATATGAATGCTATTAGGGAGGTGTATATGGTGGCAAGAGCTCAAACCTTGATCGCTCTATGTGGAACCGTCCCCGGCTACTGGTTCACTGTCGCTTTCATAGACGTCATTGGACGTTGGTGGATTCAGATGATGGGATTCTTTTTTATGACCGTTTTCATGTTTGCAATTGCCTTCCCCTACAAATACTGGCAACAAAAGGAGAACCGTATTGGGTTCATTATTATGTATGGGCTTACCTTTTTCTTCGCCAACTTTGGCCCCAATGCTACCACCTTCGTGGTCCCTGCAGAAGTCTTCCCAGCTAGGTTGAGGTCTACTTGCCATGGTATATCCGCAGCAACAGGAAAAGCCGGGGCTATAGTAGGAGCCTTCGGATTTGTGTACGCCTCACAAGAAAAGGATCCGGCTAAGAGAGATCATGGTTATCCAGCTGGTATTGGGAAGAGTAAGTCCCTTATTGTGCTCGGTGTTATCAACTTCCTAGGTATGCTTTGCACTTTGATGGTTCCAGAATCTAAAGGTAAGTCTCTTGAAGAATTAGCTGGCGAGGTTGAGGTGGATGATGTTGATGATGAGCGCAGAGGATCCGCTTGATCAATACTCCGGTGAATTGGAGTTGTTGCCTATCTACTACTTAATTAATTCAGCACATACTCGTTAATTATCTTTTGTTCGGTTCCAATATTTCTCTTATTTGCTACTTCAGTTGGTTTGTTGTTTGTATTGAGCTCTAATGTTGATTTGAGCAATTGGACTCAAATAATATATGCTTTTATTTTTTTGGTTGTTGTATTAATTTATTTAATTTGACACTAAAATGTGGCTTATGAATGCAATGAAATTTAATTTGAACAAAACTTTTAAAACTTTATGCGTCATTTGTTTATCTTTCAAATAACTAGTATCGTCCCTTGTTGTCACATTAATTTATCGTGAATGATTAAAATCACTACTAGAAAAAGGCCATTTTCCGACGGACACAAATTTCAGTCGCAAAAGTCAGAAATTCCGACGGAATTTTATTCCGTCGGACATTTACGACGGAATTGTGACGGGAAAAATATCCGTCGGAATATATGGGCTTTTCGACGGAATATTCCGTCGGAAAGACTATTTTCCGTCGTAAATTTCCGGCGGAATATTCCGTCGGAAAGTTAATTTTCCGATGGAATTAGAGTCCGTCGGAAATACCATATATTCCGACGGATTTTTATTCCGTCGGAAATTTCCGACGGAATTTTCTGTCCGAATCAAATTTTTTTAAAAAAAGGAGAACCCTAATCCTCCTTAATTTGTCCGCCTCTTTCTTTCCCTTTTCTCCTTCTCTTTCTCTCTCCTCTCCTATTCTCTTCTCCTTCCTCTCTTCGTCCTCTATTCTCTCTCCTCTATCCTCCTCTCTTCTCTTTCCTCCTTCTCCCTCTTCTCTGTCCTTCTCCCTCCTTCGCTCTCCTCTCCTTCTCCTTCTATCTTCTTCTCCTTCTCCTTCTATGCGCAACACCACGCACCGCCGCCGCTGCGCAACCAACACACCACCACCTCCTTCTCAAGGTTTTTCCAAGAACCATACGGTTTTTCATGTCAAATTCGACTTTGAAAACCCTAGATCTAGAGTTTTCATGGTCGAACTTGACCTTTAAAACCCAAATTCGAGTGGAATTGAAGGTATGTCTTCCTTTTTGTTTTCTATTAATTCGGTTTAAATTTTTTTTAATTTCTGTTTTTAGATTTAATTTGGTGGTTGTGGGTTTGGGTGGTGGTGGTGCTTGTGGGTGATTACGGGTTTGGTTGGTTTCGGGTTTAGGGTTTTAATTTTGGTGGCTGTGGGTTTGGGTGGTGGTGCTTGTGGGTGGTTACGGTTTTGGTGGTGGTAGTGGTAGTGGGGAGGGGATACGGGTTAGGGTTAGGGTGATGGGTGGGTTTTTTGGGTTATAATTAGGATGGTGGTGGGTTTTCTGGGTTACGGTGGTGGGGTGGGTTGGGGTGACAGTTGAGGGGTGGGTTGTGGGTCGTTGTAGGTTAGGGGTTGTAGTGGTGGTGGGTTGTGGGTAGTTGTGGGTTAGGGGGGTTTCGTGGGTGGGGATATGGGTTAGGGGGGTTTCGCTGGGTGGGTATGGGTGGGTTACGGTGGTGGGGTGGCTATGAGTGGGCTGGTGGGGGGTTTCGCTGGGTGGGTGGGTGGGTGTGGGCTGGTGGTAGAGGGTGGGGGCTGGTGGTGGGGGTGGGGGCTTTTTGGTGGTTTCAGTGGGTGGGTTTTTGGTAGGGGTGGTTTCGGGGGAGTGGGTTTTTGGTAGGGGTGGTTTCAGCGGTGGTGGGGTATGGTGTGGGTGGGGTTTTGGTGAGAGTGGCTAATGGGGTTACGGTGGTGGGGTGGGGCTGGTTTTTTTTTTTTAAATTCCTCTTCCGCCGGAATATTCCTGTTCCGACGGAATTTTCCGTCGGAGGTTAACTTTTCCGACGAACTATTCCGAGGAAATATCCGTCGGAAATTTGCGACGGACTGAAGTTGAAATTCAAATCTTCCTACGACGGAAATAATTCCGTCGGAAAGCCCCTTTCCGACGGAATTTCGCTCGGAAAACCCCAATTTTCCGACGAAGGGTTTTTCGGCAGACCCTTTCCGACGGAAAAATTCCGTCGGAAATCAGCTGTTTTCTTGTAGTGAATGTTCCCTTTAACATAGTAATATCCAATCCGTGTTTAATTGATTTTAACTTTGAAGTTTGTCAGTCACAACTTTGATTATCATTACATATATTCTTATTTACAAGTAAAAAATTTATAAAGAGAACTGATATTTCTAATTATGTTTTGCAGTACTTATTAACATTTTGTTATATTAAGTGAATAATATGGTCAAAGTAATGTTTGTGAGTATTGTGACTTGTGCATTTTGTGTAGTCGTTGATCAATACATTTAACCATTAATATGGTAAGTTTCATACCAACTTAAATAATTAGTGTAAACTAAGAATTAAGAATTTATGAGTAGTGTGAATTTATGGAAGAGATAATGTTGTTCACCTAAAACACCTAAAATGCCTTAATTTTTACTTATGGAGTAATATATATATATATCCTCAGACAACTAGCACCACCTCAAAATATTCACAAGTATTAATGAGAGCGAGATTGCACAGTCAATATATATATCCTCCTAACAAAATGCTAATTAAGTCTAGGATCTTAGAAGGGATCAAAAAAATTGTTGCTTTGTATTGGAAAGTTTATTTCTCAATAATATATATATATATATATATATATATATATATATATATATTAATAATAAAATGATACTTTCATTTTAATTTTTTTGGGTATGTAAAGGGGTGAAATCATTTTCCTTTTGAAAGAAGGGGATTTTACATTTTTCTCCATATTCTTAACATCTCTTTCCTCCCCTCCCATCCACCTTTCCTCTTTCACTCTACTTTCCTCTTCATCTATAATTTAACTTTTATTAAGGAAACAAATAAAGGAAAAATATATCTACATTTGTGTTTTCCTCAGCTCAAAAATTGTTTTACAAGGAAATTCATTTCCCCAAAAAATGTTTTCTACGCCATAATTTATGTACTGTAGAAATTGATAGTCACAAGGACTCACAACCCTTGCGTACAATAGTTATACTCCTTCAATTTAATTTTGTTAATCTTACTTAGAATCTCTAATTTTTGTGAGACAAAATTGATCTAAGTAGGAAAACAATATTAAACAAATGGAGTATAGTTTATTGTTCACTTTAAATTTCACACTTGCTGATACATAATTTCAAACATTTATACCTTTAATTATAAAAAATATATAGTATAAAAAAATTATTTTGTGAAAACAAATTAAATTTACAACGAAACTAACAAGATCCCATGTAAATATTTTATCCAACATATAAATTAACAAAGGTGGTCAAATGAATGTGATTATGTGAATGGTGCAACTATTTCCAAATGTTTCAACTGAAAGTGTACGGGGAGTATACATATTATCAAATGCTCTGGAAGTTTAGTGATTGATTGAGACATATAATACTAGTTTAACAAAAGATACCATAATTGAATTCATCAAACGTATGGTTGGATAGTTGTTTTCTAATTGTCATACACAACTATACAAGAAAATTTCATTCATACAAACATTAACAAATATTTGACTTATTGAGAGTGAGTATATGCGTATAAGATTACGGAGTATATTCTAAAGAATGTGTAAACATGTTTTACATTTAAATACTCGTATTTAATCACTCCAATTTCCCTCAACGGATTTATAGTGGACGAAGAGATCGAATTGTTGGTTTGTTACCCTTGCACGTACGTGCCAGGAACTTATCCAACCAACGTACAGAAAAAGGAGCAAGAAAGTGAGACATTATCTAATCGTTCTAATGCAACGGGAGGATGACTCGATTGGAGCTTTTCTTTCGATTTCAGGAGATTTTGGAATTAATTTTCATCACCTGTCTTAATGATTTTATAAAGACCAAAAATAAAAACATTATCTAATGCACTAATTTAGTTTGTTCCTTTCCAGAGTATGCTTTTTTACTTGACGTAAAATTTAAATAGAGTTGCAAGATTAGTGAGGTAGAATGGATTTGATTTCATGTATTGAATATCACCCACTAATTTAGTTGACATTATACTATTTTTACTTTCTCTGTTTTATTTATTTGAAGCAAAGCTTTAAGGCACGTTTTTCTAGGGGTTGGTTACATGAGTAGTAGGTAAACGAGCAACTTTATCAAAACAATTTTAACTCTGTAAGTAGTAGGTATTAAGTGTAAAGTATTTTCATTATTAATTTAGTAGTTTACAGCAGTACCTAATTTCTTCCTCAAAGTGCATGCCATTAGAGTGTGTTGCAAATAAAAGAAAACGGAGGAAATGTATTTTAATTTTATCTCTAATTTTCCATACAAATTATTAATTTAAATTCAACCAATATAATGTTATATTTTCTAAAACTTTCATTTAATTAGAGTAATCATAAAATAGAATACTTAATATGATTTATACGTTAAACAAAATATAATCATGTGGGATCTTGTTAGATTTGTCTCATGAAATACTTTCACAATATCAACTTTTATAATGTTTACAATTATAGATATTTAACATATAAAATGTGCTTTGGAATGCTTAATTTCATCTGTATTGCAATATTATTGGAACAAAGGAAGTATATCTTAATTTTATTTTATTTTTTTTAAAAAAAAGCAAATTATGTTCATTTTAGGTCTTTCTTAATTGGCGCATATAATGCCAAATGTACTCATGGGATTTGATAAAATGGATAGTTGTTTGGTTAACAAACAAAAGTAAAAATAGAGGAAGTGGAAATTCATGGTTATTTCAACTCTCACAAAACATGGGAAATATATTACCAAGTTTCTCCTAGGTCAATCAAAATTCATGGGAATTTTAAGTTCTCAAATTACCAACCAAACAAGTTTAGGCCCTATTCACTCCACCTTACAAAAATAATATTAAGTAAAAATAATTTCAATTCAGTAAAATAAGTTCAGTTCAGTAAAATTCAGTAACTTTAAAGAAGAATTATAATAGAAAGTCATTAAAAATAATTTCAGATCGGCAAAAATAATTTCAGTTCAGTAAAATTAATTTCAATTCAGTAAAAATAATTAAGTTCAGCAAAAATATAATTCAGTTCAGTAAAAATAATTTCAGTTCAGCAAAAATAAGGTGAAGTGAACGGTGCCTTAGGAAATTCCTAAGAATTTCATTAGAGAAATAAATTTCCATGAAATGCAAGTTTCTATGGGAATTTAATTCCGATGTCAACCAAATGAGACTTGGAAAAAGTAAAAAAGAGTAAAGGAAGTGCATAGTAATTTATTAAGAGAATTAATAGTAGTTTAACAAAATTAAAGATACTATAAATGAATTTATCAAGTACATGTGTACGATTGGACAGTTGTGTTATTATTGTCATACAAGAAACATGAGACTTTCCAGTTGTGGAAATTTTCTTTCATATAAACATATATATTTGCATGTAAACTCCATTAATAATTATTTGATAAAACGTGAAAGAGTATATGCTTATAAGATTACGGAGTAGATTCCGGAAGAATGTTCAAACGTGATTTCCCTTTAAATACTTGTCTTTCTTCCCTCCAATTTCTTCAAAAATTAAAATATCTCTCTTCTACTTCGGCTTCTTCTTCCTCCTCTACGAAACGGTTAGTCATGAATATTTCTTTCTATAATTTTTCTTGTCCTAGCTTTATGCCATAATCCTGTTATAAGTCTAGTGGTTTACTCATTATCGTTTGAGCTTGAGTAGTATAAGATCAAACGATCTCCTTCGATTATAGCATGCATGTGTGACCCTAAACATAATTGTAAATTAATAGATAAAAACATCATATAATTAACGTTACTTTGCTATAGTTTCTTGTTAATGTATACTAGAACTACGTATCATGCATGCATTTCTTAAATTGTATATATAGTCTTGTGATATTATACAGATATATATGTGCTACAGTATTAATGTCATTGCATATAATAATAACTTTAATTATGTGCTACAAAACTATTACACTATCTGTCACTAAACGATGTAATTTACCTTAGCTTGTAGGCCTTGTAGACCATAAAGTCGACAACGAGTTAGGAAACTGGAGAACAAAAAGAGACATACTAATGGTGAAAGGACAACAACTAGAAGTGCTGAACGCACTTGATGTAGCGAAAACACAATGGTACCATTTCACTGCAATTGTGATTGCTGGTATGGGATTCTTCACAGATGCATATGACTTGTTTTGCATTTCCCTGTTGACAAAGCTTCTCGGTCGCATTTACTATAATGTACCCGGATCAAATAAGCCGGGAGCATTGCCTATCAACGTCTCAGCTGCCGTAAGTGGAGTGGCCCTCTGTGGGACATTAGCTGGCCAACTCTTCTTTGGCTGGCTCGGAGACAAGATGGGAAGGAAAAAGGTGTATGGTATAACCTTGGTTATGATGGTTGCAATGTCCATTGCCTCTGGTCTCTCCTTTGGGAGCACTGCCAAGAGTGTCATGACAACACTTTGCTTCTTCCGTTTTTGGCTTGGATTTGGTGTTGGAGGTGATTACCCTCTATCTGCCACCATCATGTCTGAATATGCTAACAAGAAGACTCGTGGGAGTTTCATCGCCGCTGTCTTTGCTATGCAAGGCATGGGTATCTTAGCTGGTGGGATTGTTTCCTTAATTGTTTCTTCCGCATTTGAGGCCAAATTCAAGCCTCCCCCTTTCAAAGTAAATGCAGTTGCCTCCCTACCACCGGAGAGCGACTTTATTTGGCGTATTGTCTTGATGTTTGGGGCTATACCTGCAGCCACAACATACTACTGGCGTATGCAGATGCCTGAGACAGCTAGATACACTGCTCTTGTGGCTAAGGATGCTAAGCAAGCTGCTTCAGATATGTCCAAAGTCCTCAAGGTTCAAATTGATGCAGAGGAGGAAAAGGTTGACCAAATAGCGAAGAGCGAAAAGAATCAATTTGGGCTTTTCACAAAACAATTTGCTCGTCAATACGGTCTTCGTCTACTAGGAACCACTAGTACTTGGTTCTTACTTGACATTGCATTTTATAGTCAAAATCTTTTCCAAAAAGATCTTTTTAGCTCCATTGGGTGGATCCCACCGGCAGCAGATATGAATGCTATCAGGGAGGTGTACATGGTAGCAAGAGCTCAAACCTTGATCGCTCTTTGTGGAACAGTCCCTGGATACTGGTTCACTGTTGCTTTCATCGACGTAATTGGGCGTTGGTGGATTCAAATGATGGGGTTCTTTTTCATGACCGTTTTCATGTTTGCCATTGCCTTTCCCTACAAATATTGGCAGCAAAAAGAGAACCGTATCGGGTTTATTATCATGTACGGGCTCACCTTCTTCTTTGCCAACTTTGGTCCCAATGCCACTACCTTTGTGGTGCCTGCTGAGGTCTTCCCAGCTAGGTTGAGGTCAACTTGCCATGGTATATCTGCAGCAACTGGAAAAGCCGGAGCCATTATAGGAGCCTTTGGATTTGTGTATGCCTCACAAGAGAAGGACCCTGCTAAGAGAGACCATGGTTACCCCGCCGGTATAGGGAAGAGTAAATCCCTTATTGTGCTTGGTGTTATCAACTTCCTAGGTATGTTGTGCACTTTAATGGTGCCTGAGTCAAAGGGTAAGTCTCTTGAAGAATTAGCTGGTGAGGTTGAGGTCGATGAAGTTGACGACGAACGCAGGAGTTCTGCTTGATTAGTGCTCTGTTGTTTCGCGTACATACCGATCATGTTATTTATTTGGTCTTCAGTCTTGATATTTAATTTATTTTCTTTGTTCGATTCATATTTTTGTTGTTCGTGCCCCAAGCCAATGTTGATTTTTGTAATATTGGTTCGGATATGTTTTACTTTATTTTATTGTTTTCCATGTTTTTCCTGATTGTAATTTAATTTTTTTGTAAAGAAATTAAATTATTTGATTTGCTACTTGATGTAGCTGTTGAATGCAATAATGAAATTATTATTTTTATTTATTAGTTTCTCTCTTTTTATATATCTTTCTAAAAACTGCTAAATTATTGGTATCAATTTTAAAAATTTGTCAAAAACCGTGTAGTTATCAATCTTCTGTATTTTCTTGGTTATCCGCATCATATATTATTAATGTAAGGCATGTTCACTTTACCTTATTTTTGCTGAAATTGAATTATTTTCCCTGAACTGAAATTATTTTTGTTGAACTTAAATTATTTTTAATTAACTTAAACTATTTTTATTGAACTGAAATTAATTTTACTGATTTTCTATTATGTTTCTTCTTTGAAATTACTGATTATTTTTACTGAACTAAAATGAATTTTACTGAATTGGACTTATTTTTAATGAACTAAAATTATTTTTACTGAATATTATTTTTTTTAGGTGAAGTGAACAAGGCCTAGTATCGATCATCACTTATCTAATGCAAACAATTACATTATTTCTTCATCACCAATAACACAAATAGCACCTAATCACCCTATTTCCGGCTCAATCACCAAGGTCAAAACAACCCCTGAACCTTGGATATAACAAAGTGTCAAAGAGTGCATTTAGGTGCATAGGCCCTATGCTTTATACAATATCGTTAGAATATAGGTTAGTTGTCTTAGCAGTAATACTATATCTCACAATGGTATAATATCTGATGTATTATTTACATACTTATTTGTTTCATTAGAAAAATATTTTTACCATTATACCATAAAATAATATTATTTACCTATCTAGTGGTACTATATATGTTAATTTTTCCAACCTATTTGTTGTAAAATACGTAGACCCTATGCGCCAAGAGGTTTTTTTTATTTTTTTTATTTTAAGGTACACAGAAGTTAGGAAAATCTTCTCTTAAGACTAACTCCTAACTTATCTGAAGTAATCAAAAAAGAAAATTTACTATCTATAAAGGGATCTATATCTTGACGGGTTTGCATGTAATGACCCAAGGATGCAACATAATATGCTGCTCGATTGCCTTCTCCATAAATGTGCTTGGAGTCCACACAACAGAAATGACGAAGAAGCTCTTTGACATCATCCATCAATAGGTGAATCTTCCAGGGACAATGGGCTTTACCTTGCAAAATGTGAATAATAAGCAAGTTATCACCAAATATTAGAAAAATTATGGGCGCGGGCCAAAAGGAGCCCATTTCGAAGAGCTATAGCTTCAGCAATTAGAGGAGTAGTCGTTCCTAAATTAAACGCACGGCTATAGACGTTATTGTCAAAGTGATCTCTAATAACGATACCTGCAGCACCGGACCCGTCTCGAACAGAACCATCAAAATTAATTTTAACAACACCAACAGGGGGAGGGAACCAAGCTACATGAACAATTTTAATAGGAGTTGGGGCCAGAATAGGAGTAGCCTCAAGAGAGTCTAAATGAGTCCTAATAATCCATTCAGAGTAAATTACTTGAGCTCGAGAAAGAGTAGACAAGGACGAAACAGGGTTATTTTTAAAAATTAAGGCATTTTTGGTTTTTCAAATACTCCATAGGAAAGTAATAATCTTTTTTAAAGACAAAGAGAAGTTGCCTCTTAAAGTTTTACATAACAAAAAAATACCTATATCCAGGGGTAAAGAACCCAACCAATTGATAGTAGCCTCATGTTTCCAGAATGATTGCACAACATTACAACGAAAGGAAACATCCATACCTTTCAATACTTATGTCAGTGTGGATCATTATAGTTCTCTCTATTTTATATGTAGATCCAAAGACAAATTGTGTTCCCCATCATTCGAAATAAACATTTTCTCATAAGGTTAGCAACAATCATTTTTATGCAAGGGTTCGTTAGTTGTATCAAAATATCATCAATGTAAATAAGCACAACTAATAAATCAGTTCACCTTGAAAATAAAAGTGGACACTTTAATAACAATTTTCAAAAAATAACTTGGATAGTATTCTATCCTTAAGGTTATTCCACATGAGCGTTTATAAAGAAAATTTTGAGAAAATAAAGTTCTCGTTCATTTGGTTTCAACCTTAATTTCGTGTAAGCAACAAGAAAAAATATATATTCAACTAATTTATTATCTAGCTATGGGTGCAAAAATTATTTAATCAAATAACCTGACCTTGTTCCTTAGTGGTATACTCAAAAGTAGTTGCAATCATGTTTTGGAATTGATACCACGTGTTATAGTCAAGGTGTTCCAAATTGTCACAATGGCCTTGCTCCAGGATATTGATCAAATTGAATTTTGCTGTGTAATTTGGAACTTGATCCTTATTTGATCTACAAGTTCCTCACCATAGGGAGATGTAGCTAGATGTTGTTGCTTGACATATTTCTCCATCAGGAACTCCACTGTATAAAACACTAAGGGGGTGTTTGGTATGGAGTTAGTATAGGAAACGGAATGGAAATAAATTAGGAGGGGAAAAGGTAACAAAAAGTGTTACCCTTACTAGTTGTTTGGTACATCAAAGGAAACGGAAACAATTATCACCATTCCATTTCCTCTTGTTTGGTATAACAAACGGAAATGAAAAATAAGAATGAATAATATAATATTGTCTATGCTACATTTTTTTATGGTAAAAAAAAGATAAAAAAAAAATAAAATAACCTGTATTGCATATATATATATATATAGCAAAGTTGACACTCATTAATTATCCAAACATTGACTAATAATAAAATAACCTATATTGCTCAAGTTGCATATGTTCAACAAAAAAACAAAGACATTGCTCAAGTTGCTACTTCTTCTTAAGAAGATCAATTGCATATTGTTTTTTCATATTAAATGGTGCTTGATAGAAGATGCGAAGCTTATGTTCTTCCGCCATGAGAATAGTAGCAACCTCTAAAGCTTCGGATGGAGAAATGCCATCTAACTTCATCACCTCGTCCAATACCTTGTTCACCTTTTCATCCATTCTTTGCTCCCTTTCTTCCGCTTTAGACCATGCACTAGCCATAGTCCCGAGATTAACATTGATATTTTCAAATATCTTCCCAAAATTGTTGGAACAATCATGGAGGGAGGCCACCAAATCATCATCATCATTCCTACACAAACTCTTCAAATTTACCTTGTTCTTTCCTTTCACCTTAGTCTCCTTCGCCTTTATAGAGGGTTTTCCGGATTGAGTAGTAGAATCACTTGCGGAAGAATGAATTGTAGAAGCCTTCACTTTTGCCATTTTTGAAGGAGTTATATGATCATCCTCTATCTTCATGGGGCGTTTTCCGAATTGACTTGTAGAAGAATAAGTGTCCGAATGAGTAGAATTCACATCATCTTCTTCATCACTCTCGACATTGAATGGTTGCTTATCAATCTCTTGACCCATTTCTTCTATAGCATCAACAAACGACTCACTTGCATCTCCGGTAGCTTTGTCTTTTGCGTATATCTCCGCAAGAGTTTCATAGTGAATGAATGGAACTCCAAACAACCCTTTAGCTTTCTTATGAGTCTGCCATATAAGAGAATGCAACAAGTCAAAACATGAAAATCAGAACTGAACCAGGCAACTGTTAATCACAGAAAATAAAACAGCCCCAGCAAAGAAAATTACATAAAAAGTCATTCTGCCCAAGCTTCTTTTGCACTTATAACCACTAGCTATTGTGTAGCCTTTTAGCATCATCAATCCATATATCACCACAAGAACCAGATTTCATAATATCTCTTATTCTCCACACTTGCTTCCAATTCCAGCTTGCATTCTTAGGACACTTGAATCTCTTCCAGGTTTTTTTTTTAATCCATGAATAATCTGCAGAAAATTTGACAGCACTTCCCCTAAAACAGACATATATCTAATTTTTAACCTCGTAAAAACCTGCACAAAAGACCAGCCATGCTTCATACATGGCAACACAAAGAAACCAGGTATAGATTTAAAGCAAAATGAGCATTTGTAGCAGTACATAATTCATATATAAACTGTCCAGCACCTACCCCTCTCCCCTATCACCTATTCCCCTCCCTGCCCCCTTCCATTACACACACTGCTTCTCTCCCTGTCCAGCAGCAGTTCATACCTTCACCCATTCATACCTTTACACACAACTGTCCAGCAGAGCAGCAGTTCTAAAGTGTAATTGAAAAAAATGAACAAAGAAGAATGAAATAGCAGTTCATACCTTCACCCATTCATCGTACACGACCTTGTCTACTTGCAACAATGTCTTCTCAGCATCCCATCCAAATCCCGAGGTGGATAGCATTTCTGCAAATGCACTATATTTCTCCGACCAATGCTTGATCCTCGACTCAATGTGGGGAATTGCTCTCAAGCCACAATTAGGAAGTACACCATTGATCATCTCTTCCAACTTATTCATGTAACCATTCTTAAACCCATTATCACACTTCCACTTCGGATCGCAACTCAACTCATGCAAATATCTTATTAGAACCGCATCTTCTTCATACGTCCAATACCTTTTATTTTTACCTCTTCCTCGATTGCTAGCCTCCATCCTAAACAAATTAGAAATAACATAAGGCAGATTAGAAATAACAGTAGGCAAATTAGAAATAAAAAGAACAGAAGGCAGATGACCATGTCTATAATATAATCGAAGGTAAAAAAAATCATACATTTTTTGCTATTGACCATGTCTACCTCTCGCCCTCCAATCATTAAACATATCTTGGGATAATTTGTTTCTAAAATTGGTCCAATGATCCGAAGTAGCAACACTTGTAATAAATTCCCTTTCATCATCGGAATCACTTTCGGAATCATCATCGGATTCATTCAATTCATCTTCGTTTATATCATCCGTAGGCATGAATTTTCTAATTAGATTATGCAATAAACAACAAGCCATCACGATACGTCCATGAGTTCTTATAGGGAAAAATGAAGGACTTCTAAGAATACTCCATCTTCCTTTAAGTAGGCCAAAACATCTCTCAATCACATTTCGCGCCCTAGCATGTTTCATGTTATAGAACTCCTCGGCACTTTCGGGTTGTCGATCCGTCCATTCTTTTAAATGGTATCTTTGACCTCTATATGGAGCAAGAAAATCCTCACAATTCGTATATCCCGCATCAACCAAATAATAATTACCTT